CCCAGAGGTCTTTGGTAGGATGCTTGGATGGCAGCAGTATGCCTGCCTTCTCTAGTCTCCTGCCACCTTATCTAGTTGGTTTAGGCAGCAGCCTAGCTGAACCATCACACCATATCCCTGTTTTGCCTGACCCTTGAAGAGGCCAGCACAGTCCAACCACACACCTTTCAAATACCAAGAGAATACAATTCTACTTCTTAGCCTCTCTCTTAAGAAAATGACCAGACCTAAAGTGAGCTGGCCACAACAGCTATAGTTCATACACAGCTGATTCTCCAGGTCTGTGAACGGTCAGTCATCTGCAATCTTCCATACAGGACAGTGTGCTTCTCCAGGTCTGTGAACTGTCTTCTGCAATCCTCTACACAGGGCTTTGAAAAGGGCTTTTTGTCTCCACTGTTCTAAAGCCTTTACCAGGCTGTTCAGGGCACAAGACTGCATATGTAAGCATGTTGATCTCAACAAAACAACTCATATTTCCAAAAACTAAGGAGCTGATCAAATGGTATGTTCATATAATAACACAAATCAGATGAGAGGAACAGGTGACTCAGTAAAGTGCTCACAAGTTGCTCAGTAATAACTGTAACTGTTTAATTTGTATGTAATTAATAGTAATGAGACTGACTGGGATGGCAGAGGCAAATCAACAATTGGCTGTCTAAGGGTTGGGCATCTGTCTTGCTAATTGTCCCAGACTTTTACACCCAAAAACAGTAAATCTGGGACCCCCAAAATAAAACACCTGTACTTGCAGGTATCCAAAATATCCTTTAGCCTGTGTCACTACTGGAAAGTGGAGGGAACCTTTAGGATGTGGGTCCTACTGAGAAGTTTGGTTGCCGGAGGGAATATTTTTGAAGGGAGCAATGGGACTCCAACCCTTTTCTCTCTCCCTTTGCTTCCTGACCACTGAAGTAAACAGATTTCTTCACACTCTTGTTACTGTGTGGGTCTGCAGGCCTAAAGGAGCAGGGCCAACTGATCATGAACTGAAGCCTAAGGAATCATGAACCAAATAAAATGTTCTTCCTTATAAATTGATAGATGAGGGCATTTGGTAATGACAGAACGTTAACTTCCATGCTGCTTAATAAACACCATTCCCAAATGTTCCGTCTCTGTTGTATATTATTGTTCTCATCATTGTTATTAGGTATTTAAGTGAGGTGCTTGAACTAGGTATGGGGAAGAAACAGCACAGAGCTGGCTCCACGACTTGGCATATTCTCCCACCTGGAGACACTGGAGAGCCTGAGGAGGAACCAGCCTGGAAATGTGGACGATGCTGTGTGTTGGCGGGAAGTGCAAGCTGGGTTTCAGGGACATCTGGGTTAGAATGTTGATCTTCTTTACTGACAGATATTGTGAGAATTAACTCTCTTACCTATGAAATAGGTATTGCAAGGCATTCCCCCTCGACCCCTTCCCCAGGGCTAGGGATCAAAACCAGGACTTGAGACACGCTAGGCAAGTGCTGCACTGTCGGGTCACTCCCCAGCCCTCACAAGGCTGTTGAAAGTGGTAAGGATGATCTTAAAAAGCAGGAAACACACAGGGCTCATGGAGTAGGTACTGTCTGCCCCCAAAATCCACTCCCAACTTCTGCTATTGTGACAAAATACTTGAGAAAAATCAACTCAAAGAAGAAAATAGCATAGGGATGAAGTGTACCCTTGCATGAATGAGCATTTATAATGTGAATATGGCCATGTCAAGGACCCTAATGCCTCAGACCCATGGAATGACAAAGACTCCTCCTGGTCCTAGAATATCTGTTGACCATTCGTATCAACCACAGCCTCCTGCTCCTTGAACCCTTAGATGCTCCTCTACAAAGACCCCTACTGCCACTAGCTAGCCTACCACCTGCTTTAGCTGAACATAATAAACAGCCAAGTTTCTGGGCTTCTGGTGCCTGTCCAACAGAACACATCATCTGCCCAATCCTAGCTTTTCTGTAAGTGTTTTTGTGTCTCTATCATTTCTTCATTCCCAATCACCCAAGTCAAGTCAATCCTATGCAGGTCACAGAAAACAAACAAAAAGCCAAAAAACAGGTGTGGCAGGCACTTAAAATCCCAACACTTGAACATGGAGGAGGGAGACTCAAGAGTTCAAAGCCAGCCTCAACCATAGATTGAGTTTGAAGCTAGCCTGGGATATATAAGATCTTATTTCAATAAATTAAATAAAACCTTTACAAAATAGGAAAAGAACTTTTGGTTTATAATTTCAGAGGCTTTGTTTCATGGTCCTGTGGCCCTCTTACTTTGGGCCTGTGATTACATGGTACACACCAGCAGCAGGGGCACAGGGAAACCAGAAAGCAAGGAAAGAGACTAGAGTCTCGCATCCCTTCAGAGGCATGTCCCAATAATGTAACTTCCTTGCAACAAGTCTGTGATGGTCACTGTTAATTATCAACTTGACAAAACTAAGAATGACCTGGGAGGTGAGCCTCTGAGCATGGCTATGGGGGATGATCTTGATCACATTAGTTGAGATGGGAGGGCCTGCCCATCGTGGGTGGCACCATTCCCTAGGCAGGGGATCTATCATTCCCTAGGCAGGGGATCTACGCCTGTAAGAGCACAGGCATTCATCACTCTCTTCCAGCTTCAGATGTATATGTCACCAGCTGCTTCAAGGTCCTTGACTTCACTTCCCTCAATGGACTATAACCAGAACTGTGAACTGAAATAAACTCTTTCTCCTCTAAATTGTTTGGTCAGAGTATCTTATCCCAATAACCAGAAAATAAAGCAAGACAAGGCCTCACTGCCAAAAGTTCCACCCCCTCCTTAAGTAGAATATGGTAGAAGGCCAATTATTTGCTACTTAATGGACTATAACCAGAACTGTGAACTGAAATAAACTCTTTCTCCTCTAAGTTGTTTGGTTAGAGTATCTTATCCCAATAACCAGAAAATAAAGCAAGACACGGTCTCACCTGCCAAAAGTTCCACCCCCTCCTTAAGTAGAATAAGGTAGAAAAGGCCAATTATTTGCTACTGATTTATTGATTTATTTAGTGACTTACTTAAAGCATTGCTTGTACTGCCTATTTAGCCAAGTGTGACTTCCCTTGCTACCTAAAACAGAATGACACAGAGAAACAGCTAAAACAATGGGTTGTTGCTCTTAACAACTTGCTGGCTGCCATGTTACGTTTCCATAAAATCTTGCTTACCCACCCCACCTTGTAGTTTTAGAGTATAAAATAAGAATTCAAAGTAGACCTGGCATTGAAGCCCTGCAGGAGCTATCCTAGCTTCAGTCCACAGGTGACATCTCCTCTCTCCCACTCTCATTAGTGTTAGAGTTTATTCCAGAACGATTCCCACAACGCTCTCCATAGAATTGCAGGCTGGAGACCATTGTTACACACGGACCTTCAGGGGCTATTAAAGAACTATAATGCTCTCCTCAAACCAACACACCAGTTCACCCTCCTTCCAGGGCTGAAACATTCCAGTGTTCAGGCTAGGCAGCGTAACACTTCCCATTTGAAGGGCAGCATTTTGTGCAAACATCTCAAGTAGAGGCTTTGCACTGTGCCTAGCCATTTGATCCCTAGTCATTGCTAGATTCAGATCATGCAAGGCTCCAGACACCTTTTGCATATCTTAGATGCCACTTTGAAGTGTTTGAGTTGATGGAACTTAAAAAAAAAATGTTTACCTTTTGTTTTGGTTTTTGAGGACAAGGCCATGCAGCCAGATCTGGCCTTGAACCTGTTACACAGGTCAGACTGGCCACACATTCACAATCCTCCTGAAAGACCCCTCCCTCAAGTGTGCTGGAATTACAGGTGGCCATAATCTTCTCTGTTCTGACAATTCTGTGTAGCTTGTGATAAACCTTCAAGTTTTCATATATGTTGCATCTCACTTCCCTGGAGGTGTGAAGGTAATAGCAATGACCTCATTTTACATAGAGACAAATGAGAATCACAGACATCGATTTGTCTGAAAGCATTTGCACATGGGAGTGGATGTGGGAGAAGGAGATTATGGGAAGAAGCAAGGCTGGAAATGCTGCTTAATGCATTTGTAGTATAGTCTCCCTCCTCCTCCTCCTCCTCCTCCTCCTCCTCCTCCTCCTCCTTCTCCTCCTCCTTTTCCTCCTTTTCCTCCTTTTCCTCCTCTTCCTCTTCTTCCTACCAGGCCAGCTCCTCTCAGGGGCCTTTCTTCAGGTCTTGTTCATTCCTTAAAAACAACGGCCAAGAGCCTTACTCACTCTGCCCAGATTCAGTCCCCAGACGTTTACAGTTGTTTTCTTAACATTTCAGACCATCTCAGCATCAACCTTTCCTATAAAGCCACCCTTCCACAGCCAACAGCATGCTCTCTGCTCCTAGGGGAAACAGCTACAACCCTTTCCCAGCCCAGAGCCACGTTTTCCCTCGGAGACCTGGACCCAAGTCTGCTGATCTCTGTCTACACATGGCCACACATCCCTCACCACACTCCTGCCCTTTTCTTTTACTGACATGTCTCTCCCTCTCACTGGAGAAGAAGGCTGCTTGTCTGTGTCCACTTGGGCTTCATCTGGTGGTCTCTGATGGGCCAGGAAGCAGCCTCCACCCTGTATTGTGCTCCCCAAGGGCTCTCACATCATTTCAGACCCCAACTGGAGCAGGATTCCTCAGAGAGCTTCCCAAGTGAGCTGTAAGGAAATGTACTCCACTTCAGGCTCCAGCAGAGAGAAGAGGACATAGCATTGCAGATGGCAGAGCCTGGTTTATAGAGCATCCCACACTGTGGAACCCAGAACTTTTCTCATCGATCAATAGCAAATATGCCCTATTTAAGCTTCACCTTAAGAGCTATTGTGATGGTCAAGTAAGTGTAAAAATGGAAATGGTACTATGGTATTGCTATTGTGTTGCTATAGTAACACAGACACTTTGTGTTGTACATTGTAAAACATTCATCTTTGCCTATGAACTGGCTATGTTAGTTTTTTGTTACTATGACAAAACACCTGAGGCAGGCTACTAATGAAGAAGTAGTTTATTTAGTTCAAGTTGTGGAGGTTGAAAATGATAAGAGTACAATGTCATCTAAGTGTCACTTTAGCTGCACAACCTCATGATGAAGGGTACCATGGTGGGATCATGAGGGACTAAAGGATCAAATTACCATACAGGAAGAAGTTACATAGCAATTTAGGGATCCAGCCTGCCCTTAAAATAACTTACTCTCACTAACAATACAACTCTGACTACTTTGCATAAATTTGAAATTTTCTGCTACATTTAAAAAAAACAATTGTTTATTAACATCCCAGTCAATCCACAGTAACTAGTGAATTCCATAAAGCAGGTTGGCCCACAGGCCTGAGTGCAGAGACCTCTCAGTGGGGTGGCAGATGGCAATATCCCAGAGCTGGGCCATTGTAGGTCTTACAGGAGACAGCCTGCCCCTGGTGTATTGGCTGTCAATCAGAAACAGATCTGAGTGCCAGGAGATAGTGCATACCTTTAATCCCAGCACTGGGAAGGCAGAGGCAGGCAGATCTCTGAGTTGGAGGCCAGCCTGGTCTACAGAGCTACTTTCAGGACACCCAGGGCTACACATGGAAAATGTTTCAAAAACAAACAAAAAACCAAACCAAAACAAAACAAAACAAAAAAAAGCCACCACCAACAAAAACCCCAAAACAAAACAAAACAAAAAATCCTAATGGATCTGTACTTGAGGCTCCAGGAACTAAAGGAAGTAGAAAGGGGAAAAGGAGGTTTTGAAGGAGGTTTTTTTTGTTTGTTTGTTTTATTTTGTTTAATAATAAGTAAGAGATGGTCTTACTCTGTAGCCCTCGATGGTTGGATTAGCTTTGTGGACTATTCTAGTTTGCTTTCTGTTGCTGTGATAAATACTATGACCAAAAGTTACTTGGGGAAGAAAGTGTTTATATTTCAGCTTATACTTCCATCACTGAAGTCAGGGCAAGGATTCAAACAGCAACTTAGAACAGAAACCACGGAGAAGTGCTGCTCACTGGCTTTTGCTCAGCTTTCTTTCACAGCCCAGACCCACCTGTGCTGGGCCCTCCTAAGTCACTGAACAACAAGACAGTTCCTGGCATATATAGACACACTGTGATCTGGACAATACTTCAGGTGACACTCCATCTTTCCCAGCTGACTCTTGGTTGTATCAAGTTGACAATAAAAACTAACAAGGATCTAGTCCAAGCTAGCTTCAAACACACAGCAATCCTCTTCTGCAACCAAGTGCTCTGATTACTGAATCACAAAAGAAAAAAAAAAAAACAGCATATTTCTCAGCTTTTCATAGGAAATAATAAAAGTTCAGTTGGGTATGGTGGTCATGCCTCTAATCCCAGAATGTGACAGGCAGAATTAGAAGGTTTTGAGGTTAAGGAGGGCCTGGACTGCACAGCAAGATCTCACCTCAAAAAAAAAAAAAAATTAAGAGCTGTTTTGCAAACTACATTAATTTCCGTGTGTGTGTGTGTGTGTGTGTGTGTGTGTGTGTGTGTGTACAGATATGGCAGACAACTCAGTTCTCTCCTTCCACGTTGTGGTTCCAGGTAATCACTCAGCAATCAGCCTTAGAAGCAAGTCTGTTCCTCTAGATGCCTCTCTGCAGTCCAGGGGCTGTTACACAGCTCTGTGGTAGACCAGATGCACATTTGAGGCCAATCCTGAGGTCAGTCCCCAGTGCCAGGAAAAGAAGGGGTTGGGTGGGGTGGGGCTCAGAAAAGGCAGACAAAAAGGAACTAAAAAAGATTTTAAAAGATAGGTTTTAGTCCTTGCTTCTCACCTGGGACAAGTGAACTCCCTCCTTGTTTTGTTCATAACTGGGGGATATTACTACCATCTGCCTCACAGAACTGTGAAGATGGGGTGCTGTCTCTCATGGAGCCGGGGATGGACACTTGAACACTGATGGCTCTGCTGGGCCATCCACACCGTCAGCTACTAAATAAATGAAAACTGTTGTGATTAATTATTTAGAAAAAAGCAATTTGTTCCAGGCCTCAAAGTGACTCAGCAGGGTTCTACTTAGGAGGACAATGTGCCACCCCACCCCCATCCCTCCAAGCCCATTGAGCTGAGTGGCTCTATGAGGGCAGTTGATACACAAGCCATGACTAGGACAATGTGCCACCCCACCCCCATCCCTCCAAGCCCATTGAGCTGAGTAGGGCTCTATGAGCACAGTTGATACACAAGCCATGACTTTTTTTTTTCCTGACAAAGCAGGGCAAACGGGTGGGGGAGGGATGTGGGGGGAGGCACAGGCCAATCTGGTCCTGACAGCTGGGCCACCCTGGATGGCAGAGATGAGTCAGCTCACTGCTGCTATGCTCAATATAAGGCTCCTGAGCCTAGGCAGGGCATCTCAGATCGCAGACTCCCAGAATGGAGTCTGTGTGTGATAATAGTCAATGGCTTGTCTCTATGTGTCTCCTCCCCAAGGGCAGGACCCGCTTCTCTTATGTCTGAGTAGATGCGTGCATGCATGCGTGCATGCATGCGTGCATGCATGCGTGCATTGTGTGTGTTTACATGTACATACAGGTACATGTACAGTTGGAGGCCAGAGGTCAACATGGATAACTTCCTCCACCTTAATTTTTGAGAAAGGGTTCTCCCTCTCTCCCTTCCTCCTTTCCTGCCTTCCTCCCTCCCTCTTCCCTGCCCCCCCTCCCCAACCTGGAACCTGCTGATTCAGTTGTCCAGCAAGCCCCAGGGAAATATATGTGTACAACGGAACAGCACAAGTGAGCCTGCACCTGTTGCCTCATTGGCAGAGTCCTAGGTGGTTGTCCCAGTAGAAGAACAAAAAAACAGGGCATCCAAACAATGGATGAAGAAGCTCCTGGTGCTTTGTTTGAGGGGAACTGGTACACATGCACAGAGATGTCCTTGGGTCTGACTTTTGAGGGTGCCATTCGCTCTGGCTTGTCCGGAACCTACATACTCAATCTATCGTCCAAAAGCAAAGAAGCAGAAGTGGAGGAGGGCAGAACTCATATCCTCTGTGAGCAACTGTTTCTGTCTGACTGGGGACCTGGGCTGGAACACAAAGAGACTAAGCTGGCCATCCGTACTTCAGGAAGATGTGGACTTTTTGGTCGACTTATTTTGTTTCAGCCAGTCTTATGTGTTGCTGTAAAGTGGGTTACTAGGAGCTTGAGGCAGAAAAATCCTGAGTTTGAATTCATTCTGGGCTACATAATGAGTTCCAGTCCAGCCTGGGCTACATAGGCAGACCCTGCCTCAAAGAAACAAAAACAAAAAGCCACTCGGATGTGCTGCCATTTTGGGTGAGAAAACATAGAAAACACTTCTTACTATTGTGTTTTTAAAATAACCTTCATAGTAAATGATCATTAATTTCTCCGAACACCAAGGTCTTAATAAAAATAGATGTTTAAATGAAATCATTTGTAGCCAAACTTTGCAATGGGAATAACATTTAACCTAGCTTCCAGTTTGCTAAATAAAAAGGAGCTTTAGCAGGGCATGGTAGTTATTGTTTGTTACCCGGCTCTAGAGAGGCTGATGTAGGAGACAGCTGCAAGTTCAAAGACAGCCTGAGCTGCATAAGAAAGCCAGAACAGTCAGGGCTGTATAGCAAGACGCTGCCTCAGATACATATATTTGAACATCAATGTTTTATTTCAGGTGCTAAAATTCCTTGCCCTATCCAATGTATTACCCCAAGACTGGCTGCTAGCTGCATTTGACATTGACAAAGCAACTCTGGCACTGAAAAGCCCTTAAGTAGCCATTTGTAACATGTCAGAAAGGAAGTTAATTTTGCCTTTTAAACTCTGTTCTCCTTTCAAATCAACTCTGCCTGGAATGGGGCAGAGCACCTGCTTGGAATTCAGCTGCCTGCTTGAGTCCTAGCTGGGGAGGGTCTGGACGCCCACGAGTGAGCCATGCTCAGCTCTGGGCCTCCATTTCCTCACCTGAAAAATACAGGCTTGGTGTTAGTGCCCTTCCTGACTCATTTGATTTTCACGGTCTCTCTGAAGTATCTAGGGCAGGTGTATTATTTGAAAACTGAGGGTCTGGAATCTTCTACATAGGGATCAGCAAACAATAGCCCTTGGCCAAACCCAACCCACCATCTGTTTTTCAGCTATCTCCCCAGTCCCTAAGAACAGTTCTTACGTTTTTAATTTTTTAAAAGAATAAAACACTGTACTACATAAAACTTACTTTGCACCTGACTCAATAAGCTTACTTACTAGAGCCTGGCAAAGGCCACTTGTGAGTATATCATCTCTGTCTTTACACTTGGTCGGAGCAGGGGCAGGCCCTCAAAGACAGATCTGGCAGACCATGAATTTGCTCAGTGGCTTCCAGTACCTTTTAAAGGCATAGCATACGTATGATTCTTGCCATCTCCCTAGCTTCACGGCCCATCCATACCTTCTGAATATACCCCTGGGCTGTGTGCATGTGTCTTACCCATCTTGTCTGTATGTGCAGTGACTCTGCCTTCTGGTCTACCCCTCCATCTTCAACATGTATAACTGCCCACCGTCTTGTCCTCCCAAGCTCATTGGCCTCAGCACCTCCTTGGAGAGCTTTTCTCAGTTCCTCGGTGGGATGAGTGGGTTTCACTCCTCTTCACAGCCTGAGTCATGTGGATAAGACTTTGAGGTACTTGAGGGCAGAGGTTCCTAGTTTATTCCCATGTCCCCACTCACCAAACAGTTCTTGGTACACAGTAAGAATATAATGCATGCTGTTTGAAATGGAACTGATAAATTGCTCAGCATTACCCAGCCAACAAGTGAAAAGCTGGGACTGGAGCTCACACCTTCTGAGTCCCTGTGTGTGGTAACTTTTCCTCAGACCATGACCCACAAATGGACACTCTTGGCCCTCACTCCTGGTGGATTTTGTTCTACTGCATTTCAAACAGACAGAGTCTCAGGCTAGTTCTACACTTAAGTGTTTGAGCAGAGCAGTCCCCTCTCCTGCTGGCCATTGCATGGAGTACTGAGAATTTCTGATCCCAGACATCCACTGGTCCTGAAGGCCACTGGAAGCCTCCTTGGAACTGATGGTGGCTGTACCGAAGGGCTCTCACCCACAGCAGTGAATCACAAGTGAATGAGCATGTCCATGTTGGAAAGCTGTTAGTGAGAAACAATTCTGTCTTTGCCAGGCTGAAGGCATTTCTCTCTCACTTCTGTGGTTTCTGTTTCCTTATTGGTCACCTGGGCCCAGAGGAATGTGGGCCAGCCAGCCAGATGTAGGCTGAGTGCAGCCACAATGGAAAAGAGGACAGAAGGCGTGATGGACACCGGTCCCCAGCTAGTGAAAGGGACAAGGGAGTGGGGCAGATATTGAGGAAGCTATATCTATGCCCACACTTTCACTATAGCATCCTTCCCAGCTTTTTCTTACCTGTGCTCGAATTCCTACCATTAAAGTAATATAAGTACTCTCTTTATAAGGTCACTTGGCTGTCACAGTCAGTAAGGAAAACAAAATTGTTTTCCCTTTAAACCCATAGACTGAGAGGTGGAGCCAGGGGGATCAGGAATCCAAAACCAGCCTAAACAAAATTGTTTTCCCTTTAAACCCATAGACTGAGAGGTGGAGCCAGGAGGATCAGGAATCCAAAACCAGGGTTTCTTGAGCTCTTTGCTAAAGAAAAACTAAGGGGGCTAGAAAGATGATTCAGAGGTCAAGAGTGCTTGCTGTTCTTCCAAAAGTCCTGGGTTTGGCTTCCAGCTCCCACACCAAGCAACTCACAACCACCTATCACTCCAGTTCCAGGGGAGCTGATGTCCTCTGGCCTCATTGAGCACTAGTTAAGAATGTGGTGCACAGAAACACACACACACACACACACACACACACACACACACACACCCTAGAAAGGGGAGTGGAGAGAGGTGGGTGAGAAGTGTGAAATGAATGGCACAATCTGAGAAATTTTCTCAAAGGACAAAGTATTTGAAAGTCATAGATAAGATCACACCTACCTAAGCAGGGTGTGGTGTCACGAGTCTCTAATCCTGGCATTGAGGAACCTGAAGCAAAAGTTTCATAAGCTTGAGGCTAGCCTGGTCTACATAGTGAGTTCAAGGTCGGTCTGTTACATAATTCAATAAGCAAAACAAATGAACATGAGGTCTCACCAAAGAGAGAAAAATTCACCCAGAAAGAAGACATGCATTTTTATCAAGAAATTTGTGCAGGGTCCTGAGGTGCTATAAGGGTGAGCCCTTGGGTAGTCAAAGGTAGCTGAGGTGTACTGTACGTGTGACAGTGACAACAAGTGGGTGAGAAGGAGCTGGAAAGGCAAGAGGTAACCAGACCATGATTAACTCCTGATTGACAGCTATCTCAGAACCACAGAAGGGAGCCGCAGGGGAAGAAAGGGAAGACAATTCAATAGCAAAGACTGTTGGTATGCAAAAGCTTCAGCCGGCTGTCAGGGCAGGGCGAGGCAGCAGCGTATGGAACAGCAAACAGTAACAAACCATGAAGGGCTCTGAAACCACCTGATGGGTAAGAAAACACTTTCTAGTTGGATACCTTTGCATACGTCTGTCTGGCTTTTTTCATTTGCAGAACAGGAATGCTAGTTACTCCTTGGTTCAGGATTGGGAAAAAGCATAAAGAAGCACATAGTAGGAACACACAAACATAAGCCATCACCTGTCTTTATTTAGTAAGCTATAGAGTCTCTGTTGTTCCAAGATGAAAACTAGAGAACGAACGGTCCCCCTTTCAGCACGTACCACCTTGTTTCATGAGAACCCTGTCTCTGGCATCTACTGAGGCAGAAGTACCCTAGTCATCTCTGAGAGGGGCTAATGGATCTGTGCTACACTGAACTTTCCAGAGGTGCTGTCTGCGGCTGTGGGGAACTTGTCACACAGATGGGCAAAGCAGACATAAACTGTCTTACCCGGAGTCAGAGGAGGCTCGAGAACTCTGACCTCACAGCTCAAGGACTTCATAAACTCTATGGTTTCACACCACACAGAACAAAGGCTCTGAGTTTGTCCCGATACACAAATCTCCCAGCACCTGAGAGCTGCCACGGAACACAGAGCATCCACGTCACCTTCTTCTTTCTCAGAAGCAGCATCCACACTTCTGCATGGAGGAGTAGACAAAACACTCAAAACAACTCTTAAAACACTTCCCTGCAATGCAGTCTTTAAACACAGGAAACAGCAGCTGGCTGTGTTGCCAGGAAAGTTTTTTTGCCAGTGAGCATGTGGGAGCTCGTTGTGTGAGTTTAAAGCTGTGATCCAGGAACAAAAATAAACCAGCCAAGCCAAAACCAAAGCCCTGTAACCATAGGTGTAAGCAAACGTTGGGAGCCAATTTTTTTTTTTTTTTTTTTTTTTTTTTT